CTTTCGTTCATCTTTTTCTCTCACAAGAGAAACTACTCATACAAATGTATCTTAATATTCCGTGCAACGCACGGGCATCTTGCTAGTATTGTACAATGTGTCACTAAGCTGCAGCATAATAACTAATTAAGGTACCATATCCACCGCTCCGTGCGGTACACGTGAAAGAGAGAAGTGATCTCGATCTCTTGTGGCTAGGGTTAGTTATTTGAACCACTACACAGTATAGTCTGACTGGCTGCCACATCGGACTGTACTATTTGATCCAAATGGACAGATGGTGATCTTGTCTCTAGCCGGCATTACCACGAGACTAACCGGATCGTGTGTTACATCACACATTCCACACCGCCTTGATCAGTTCCCATGGGAATGGGATATCAGTGGTCTGGCGGGCATGAAACACACACACGCACTCACGGCGTGCTTTCTCTCGCCGGTCAATGTCAGTGATCCCGGGAGAAAGACAAAAGGAAAAAGGAAAGTACGTAGGCCCATTGCAGTGGCCAACTCTCGCATACAATCGGCGTTTCTCCCTGGGTAGAACAACACGGCCGCCGCCGCCACCACCCACCGGCGGCGGTCGTCTCACCAAAGCAAGTCGTCGTAGCTATAGACCTACAGCGACCTGCCAACTCCTACTCCTGCCTGCGTACGATACATGATGGACGAGCCCCAGCCGCTTCCGCCCAAAGCTTTGCAACTTTAGATCAGATTAACTAAACAAATGGCAATGCTAGCCCTGTCATTAGAAGACGATGGCACAGCCGATACGAAGATATCTCTCTTCCAATATTCAATCCCTACCAGTGCTCGCAAGCAGAGCAGCAGCCATCGGCGATGTCATTTGTCATTTGCGGCAATGATTTCCGGCTTTTGAAGCCCGGGATGCATGCCCTGTCATCTTAAACTACCCGTGGCTGGAGTTGCAGGGCCACCCCGGGGCATCGTCTGCTTGCTTTTTTCCTTTTGCAGCGAGGAAATAAATGTAATGCTGTCTTTTGTTGTTGGAACGAATGAAAAACCCTACTACGTACTCTTGTTCTGCATCTTATCCGGCCGGCCGGTGTGGCATCCTCGGCCAGCTCTTATTCACTCCCTCGTGCATGACAGACAGGTGCACACAAGCTTGGCGTGCCTGCCTGCATGCTTGGCTGAAATTCATCCCTTTCTCTGTTTCAAAAGGTTACAATAGATGAAGGATTGTAACCGTACCCGTGCTGGTAAATATCAAATAATCAAGTTCAGCGTCAAATATTTATTGCTCAAAGTACTTATTTTACGAAAAGGATCAAATCTATTATAAAAGTTTACCGACGGTACAAAGCATCTCAAACATAATAAGAATTACATTAAGATTTTGAGACCACTGCTGTCGTCAGAACAAGCCGCCGACGCACCGCTATCGCCACTCCCCTAACGAACCCAGCTTGACCTTGTCGATGACAGCCGGGAAGTCTTCATGCACAGGCCCCTAAGGACCAACGCCATGGAGACATGAAGCCGCAATTGTCGCCCTTGAACCCTTACATATATCTAAATCATCTGACACCAAATCTCGCCACATGGCGAGAAACCCTAACCTCACCGTCTCAAGGAGACGACAGGAATCTACATTGGAGCTCCGTCGACTACGTTCAGCCAGACAAACTTGAGGAGGATTGGAGCCCGGAAGAAAAAATCGAAGAAGAAGCGTCACCATCCGCCTGAGCGCCCCAACTGCAAGGACTAACAAAACCTAACATAAACTACCAACCGAAGCAAAGGCATCGGGATTCCCCTCCTCACCCCAGCAGTAGGAGTGGCAGGCGAAGTGGAGTCGAATTCAC